GCAAAGGCGAGGAGCAGACTTCCCGCGCGGTCAGCATCCACACGGAGGAGCGCGTGCACGGCGGCATGGGCGAGTAAACGGGGGTACGGTTTGGAAACGCCACGGAGAATGGCGAGAGCGGCAACAATGTCGTTTGCGGCAATGCATGCACGAATCTCGCGGGCGAGCGTCTGGGAAGTCCTTTCTTGCTGGTGAAGCACGCCAGGACACAGGCTTGGTCGGTGGCAAGGTATGGGTGACGATGGCGTCGAGAGGCAAAGCGGCACGGCGGGGGCGACGGTCAACGAGTGCCTCAAACTCGCGCGGCAGCGAACTCATCCATCGCCTACCGTTCATCGACGAAAAGCGGATCAGTGGACTTTGAAAAGGAGGTCACACCTGTGACCCGCATCTCCCAAAATTCCATGGACGCGCTCATCGCAAAAGCCGACGCACTGGGCCCCAAGCAGAAAAAACGGAAGACATTCCACGATTCCACAGACGACTCGCTCAAAAAGCGCACCGGTGTACCCAAGTCCCTCCAGGACCAGAATCCAGTCCTCAATGTCCCTGCACACAAGCACATTGCAAATAAAAAATTGCGCACAGAGCTCGTCCGCCATGCAACACACACTGCACGCTCAAAAGCACTGTTAGAAGATGCAGAGATGCTCCTGACCGAAGATGCAGGGTTGATGCAGGCAGAGGGCGAGCTGGAGCGTACTTGGCGCGTCTCGCAGTCCGAAATCCTTGTAGACGCCGGCCAAGATGCCGTACGCGGACGGAGGGAGTGGAAGCTTGACGGAGGCCCGTACCGTTCGCGCTATACACGCAACGGAAGGTCAGCGACTTTGTAAGATCACAACTGCTGTTGCTCAACCCCCTCAAGATATCTGGCCATCGTTGGGAGTATGGGCCATGCTTCGACGTTCGACTGGCAAACCGGGACACTACATGCAGAACTACAGCTGCAGGAGACATGTCGAGACATAACGTGTGTTCGTTTCACCGCACCACGAACCAGTCGTTTAAATATTCTTGACCAGCTTCTTACATGATCACTCCCACTTTGCCGTCGCGCAGAAGAAATACGTCTTCATATACGACCGCGACGGTGTTGAGCTGCATTGCTTAAAAGCACACATTGAACCTACACGCCTAGAATTCCTACCGTACCACTGGCTTCTCGCGAGCATTGCAAGTCCTCATTTCCATTGACGATTATCCCGGCATAACATGAAATCCAGGGCAACGCAGGCTACTTGAAATATCAAGACACTTCGACCGGCCAACTCCTCGTTGAGCATCGTACCAAATTCGGCGCATGCAACGCCATGACCCAAAACCTACACAACGCCGTTATCCATCTCGGACACCAGAACGGCTGCGTCACTCTCTGGACGCCAAATCTGCCCCACCCCGCAGTCCAACTCCTCGCGCACCTTGGGCCCATCGCAAGTGTCTCCGTCGACCCGAGCACAGGCGGGCGGTACATGGCCACTGCCGGCCGCGACGGTGCTGTCAAAGTGTGGGACTGCCGAAACTGGAAAGGTGCCGTCCGTGAATGGTCCGCAAGGGGCGGCACAGCTGAAGTCGAATGGAGCGCTCGGGGTGCATTGGCGGTCGCGAGTGGTGGGAGTGTGAACGTTTACACTTCGCCGACGATCCAGCAACCGATGCACGGGAGCACGCAACCGCCGCTTTACCTCACGCACCCCATCCCCTCGCGGCCGCTGACCTCACTACGCTTTGCCCCATTCCAGGACATCTTGACGATTGGGCATGCTGCCGGCCTGTCGAGTATCCTCGTCCCTGGCGTTGGGGAGCCCAACTTTGACTCGACCGAAGCGGATCCGTTCGAGAACCGCAAGGCGCGTCGCGAAAAGGAAGTCAAGGCACTACTCGACAAGGTCCGTACTTTTCCCCCAATAAGTCAGACATCCTTTGTGACGGCGCCGACAGATTCAACCCGACATGATCACTCTCGACCCTGAGCTCATCGGCTCCCTCGCGCCGGATCCAAAGCTCTCGACAACGACGACCTTCGACAGAAAACCCGCCGTCGAGACACCCTTCGCGCGCCTCCCGCGCCTCGAGCGCCTGCGCGTGCAAGGCAAGGCGGACGAGACGGAGGTGGTCGACCCCGACGATACGGCGCCCGACGGGACTAAGCGTACGAAGGAGGAGAAGGAGCGTAAGAAGATGCGGGGCAAGGGGAAGAGTCTGAAGCGGTGCGTTCTATTACATCTGCAAAGAAAGAGAGAAACTGATAAACGTATCGCAGGTACCTGCGCAAGCAACGCAAGAACGTCATCGATCCGACCGCGGTGGCGATCCGGATGAAGCTGGAGCGGCAGCGGGAGGAGCGCAAGATACGAGCGAAGGAGCAGGCAGGCGGCGAGCCCCGCAAAGCATCGGCACTGGATCGGTTCGCGAAGGGGTAGAATTATTGTCGGTGCGAGCAATGGATTATCTATTGTTCCCGGCTTCTTCGAGTTTCGTGTTGAGATCGTTCTGGATTACAGTCAGTCGGCTAGGTTAGCCGTTGCAGTTTTGCCATATCAGTTATGCGACGACTACGGGCCGATTGCGCCCACAAAGGACTGACCGTTCCACCATGCTCTCCAGCGTCCTCATTGCTCTTCCGGCGACGTACCTCCTTCTCCTCCTTGGCTGGCACCTCGTTCGTCGCCACCTCCTGGCCAAAAGCCAGGGCATCCAAGATTTTCCACTCCTCAGGAACGCTCGACACTCTGACGGAAAAATCCAGGGCACCGCGGTCATTTGCGGTGGAAGGTACTGATCCCGAGCTCTTTGCAAATGTCGAGCAATTCAACGCGTCCAGCATCGCCGGCTTACTCGCCGCACGCGTCTGTCACAACCACTTTGCGCGCGTTCTCGTGGTGGAGCCCGAGGCCTGGGTCGCGTCGCACGAGGGCCGCAAGATCGACGGATGGGATTGCACGCGCCAGCGGGCTCGGGTCATGCAGTATACGTCCCTCCATGGTCTGCACTCAAGCTTCCTCTGTTCCCCGAAGTTTTTTTTTTCTGACGCGGCATGCAGCCTGCCAATCCTTCCTATACGCAGGCTTACAATACCTGTTTCCAAACATCGAAGAGGAGTGCCGGCGTTCTCGCATCTTGTAACTCCCTCCGCAAATTGTCTGCGCAATAACCTGATGGTTCTCCTAGGGTCTCGCTCGCGAACCACCGATACACCCTCACCGGCGTCCTCTTCCGCGTCCCTTTCCACGCATTTAAATCAGCGCTCCCCAAGACGATGTACCTGACCCGCTCGGGTTTCGAGACACTACTTCGGTTTGTATCGAACATTATTGCTTTCTTGTAGTTCCTCAAGCGGCTTCACAGACGCCTCGTCCTCAATCCTGGGTCGTATCCTAACATCGAGTATCTGACGGGCACTGTCACAGGTGTAAACCCTGACCCAGAGAATCACTCGCGGTTAAGCAAGGTAATAGTGAGAGTAGAGTCGGGGGTCCAAGAGTTTGAAGCCGCACTGGTTGCAGGTAAACCATCCCTTGAAACCTTTTTTGAGTATTGACGACAGCGTTCGGCAGACTGCACCGGCCCTACGCGCGCGGGAATGAAATGGCTCGAACGCAACGGATACGGCTACTCTACCACTTATCCTCGTGGTAAACTGCCTCTGGACAAGCTCAAGATCTCCTTCGACCAAAAACTGCGCTACTCGTCCATGACGTTCCGTTACACCCCCGAATTCCACGATCGCCTGCCCCTTCCTGCTGAGTTGCGGGACACCAAGCCAATTTACTCATTTCTGGAAGACGTGACAAAGGAGAGCCTCTCCAAGGGTCGCGCATTCTTCGTGCTGTTACGGACGGACGGGGACCAGCGTAGGCGCACACCCGTTGTATTACATTCATCGTCCTCACATCCATCGCAGTTGTTGCGTTCACAGGGCACTACGGGATGGTTCGTCAGCGGCCTGAGAACCTTGCAGAGTTGAAAGAGTACGTGCAGGGATTGCTCGGCGTGCAGGCCATTCCAGACTGGGTTTGGGCAATCCTGGACTTGCTAGAAGAGGTTGAGGACTCCATTGTGGTTGCCCTCGTTAGCGTCCGTGGGTTGAATCTATCAGTAGCCAAGCGCTGAGCCACACCACTGACCGAGTATTGATCATGAGCAGCCCCGACTACGTACATCCGATATCATCTGGCGATGAACCTTCCCTCCAACTGGGTCGCGTTGGGAGACAGTGCCATGACCGGTGTGTGTTTGCTCCCAAGTTATACTACGAATAGAAGCTCACATATGAATCGAGTGAATCCTCTCTTTGCGTAAGTTTCATCCGTCGTCCTTTATCATGCTAAGCCTCCCTTCAGCGAAGGCTGTTCGAAAGCGTTCAGAGGTGCCCTTGCCCTCCACAAATTACTACACAGCGCCCGAGTTACCAACGGGAACACACTACCTTCCAATTTTTCCTCAAAGTATTTTGCGGAAATGTTCGACAAGACAGACTGGATCTGGGAAAGAACACGTCTCATGGGTGTGTGCTGTCTGCTTTGCGCTTTCGCTTTCTCACCACCATTAGACTATGGCGTCCCAACGACTGAGCCGCTGTCAGGGGAAGCCCTGTCTTCCGGCTCATACCTCCGATGGTATATCACTTGGTTGCAGCGACTTGCGACCACCGTACGTCGAGATTTTCAGTGTGTCCAACATCTAACAAACGGTGAACAGGATGACCAGGCTGGTTTGGTCTTTTACAACTCATCCAGTGGGCTCGGGTCTTCGATTGACGCCCTCCATCCCGCCCTTGTATTGAAGGTTTTGTGGCTAGCGGGGCGACGAAGTATCTTCACGTCGAAGTCATGACAAGGTCAACTTGAAGTAGCACGGGTCATGACGACAAATATATATTTCCCTGGTCACAGTAAATGGCAGCCAATGTGTAGACATCTTCTCATACTGGACCTAGGGGACACTGGGGTGTATTATCGATGAATGACCCCGTAGGCGGAAAAAATGACCCAAAAACACTCTCGACCTGGGAGTCGAACCCAGCTCTGCCGCGTTCGCGTGCATATGACAGGCGGCTGTACTAAACCGATATACTAGTCAAGACTGACAGAAAGCCTCCACCATAGTATTGGAGCCTATTGGAGCTCACCGCGATTCGTCTGATCTAAGATCAATCAAAATTGATCGATCACCTTTGACACGTCGCGTCGTTGACGCGTCGCGTCTTTCTTCTTCTTCATCTCACCTGCCTCGCCAATTCTGGTCACCCCGAAGGTTCTGTCATCCCAGTCTGTTGTTTATCAACATGTGAAGCGCGTCGAGATCTGAGCAGATGTAGAATGTTCTGGACGCTTGTGCTAATACTGGAGCTCCATGTCGTCTGGATTCTGGAGCTGGCCTGGAATCCTTCAAATTCAATGCAGTAAAGCCGTCGGGTACCCGATGACTCAAAGCGGCCGTTGATCTGACTTGGCCTCATGTTTCTTGGACGTCCGAACCTTCGAACATCACCTCTTGTCGACAGTTCAAGTCGTGTCGGCTTACTGTTGAGCGGAGTAAATCGGAGGCCCGTACCCACGGATTCCGTGTGACTGCGCCCGGGAATGGCTATGGATCGCGCGGTTACCATCGCAGGCATCCAAGACGCCGGAACATGGGTATTCTTTGAGACGGCCGCTGGCTCTTTATATATGTCCTCGGGGAACGCATTCGATTTCTGTGAGCAACTAAATCTCTCCTCATCGTTGTGGACAGTTGCCAACGCCAGCATTCGTCAGGTCTCAACCAATTTCATCTGAAAAAAGAAAGAAAAAAAGAAAAAAACACCGTCGGTTGTGCTCGCGATCCCATCCCGATTCATCGGCTCGACATGGTGTCATTAATGATCAGTTGACCACTTCGCGGAACTGGCAGGGTGGCAGCCAATTACAAACGCTGTATTGCACTGGTTGCGAACACGTGATGTGGGGTAATAGAATCCGGTATTTAAGGATTCCTTATTCACCCGTCCCATCCCTTCCTCTGCTCTCACTTCATCATGCCTTCCAAACAAGTCTTCAACCTCGGACAGGAATCTGCCCACTACACCACCTCCAGCGGCGCACCCGTCTCGGAGCCATACGCCGCGCAGCGGGTTGGCCAGTTGGGGCCGCTTTTGCTTCAGGGTCAGTTCCCTTGCCTCCTGGGTACTTTATACTCATCCCAGGCCTCTAGATTTCCACCACATAGATTTGCTTGCACATTTCGACAGTGGGTTTTCCTCGAATCGATGCCTGAAAGCACTAACTTGTTTCTACAGGAGAAAGAATTCCCGAGCGTGTTGTAAGCCGAACCCACACAAACTCCGAATCGCCCTCATATCGTCTACCATCGTAGGTCCACGCCAAGGGTGCAGGAGCCCACGGATACTTCCAGGTCACCGAGGATCTCAGCGACATCACCTCCAATCCCCTTCTCTGCAGCAAAGGCAAAAAGGTCAAGGCGACCGCCCGATTTTCGACTGTCGGTGGCGAGTCTGGATCTGCCGACACCGCTCGTGATCCCCGTGGTTTCGCGGTCAAGCTCAGGACCGATGAGGGTAACTGGGATTGGGTCTTTAACAACACCCCGGTCTTCTTCATCCGCGACCCCGCGAAATTCCCCCACTTCATCCACACCCAGAAGCGTGACCCGCAGACCCATCTCAAGGATGCTGATATGTTCTGGGTATGTCCGACCGTCGACACGACACGTCAAGTTGGTCCTGATGTGGCTGTCTGTAGGATTATCTCGGCCAGAACCCCGAGTCCATTCACCAGATCATGATTCTCTTCAGCGACCGCGGCACTCCCGACGGCTACCACAACCAGCACGGATACTCGGGCCACACTTTCAAGTGGTTCAAGAAGGACGGTTCGTTCGTCTACACCCAGCTTCACGTTCGTGCCCAGAACGGATTCAAAACCCTCAACAACGCCGAGGCAGGCAAGCTTGCTGGCGAAAACCCCGAATACGGCATCCAGAGTCTGTTTGAGGCGATCGAGTCGGGTAAACCGCCGACCTGGGACGTCTTTGTCCAGACCATGACTCCAGCGCAGGCGGAGCAGTTCCGTTACAACATCCTCGATCTCACAAAGGTTTGGCCTCATGCCGAATTCCCTCTTCGCCCGGTCGGCAAGTTCGTCCTCGACGAGAACCCGCAGAACTACTTCGCCGAGATCGAGCAAGCTGCCTTCTCGCCCTCCCACCTCGTTCCGTACATTGAGCCCAGCGCCGACCCCGTCTTGCAGTCGCGTCTCTTCTCGTACCCTGACACTCACCGTCACCGTCTCGGCGTCAACTACCAGCAGCTGCCGGTCAACGCACCGATTGTCCCTGTCGCCAACTTCCAGCGCGATGGCCCCGGCACGTTCGTCTCCCAGGGCGCGCGCCCCAACTACCAGAGCACGATCGCCCCGCTCAAGTACATCGGAGCTCCCGGCACCCTTGAGGGCGGCGCCCGCGACTTTGAGCGCGAGGCCAAGCACGAGACCTTCATTGGCGCCGCGTTCCGCGACCTCAGCGAGATCAATGAGCGTATGTCTGCATATTCAATCAGTTTATCCACGAAGCTAACACCTTTGAAGTCGACTTTGAGCAGCCGCGTGCGCTTTGGAGCAAAGTGCTGGAACGACGCCCAGCGCGAGGCGTACGTTCAGAACGTTGCTGGCCACTTCGGGAACGTCAAGAGCGCCGAAGTCCGTGCCCGCCAGCGTACGTTCTTTTACTTCACGTCTATGCTTACTAGCTAACGTCTTCTGCAGTGTCCGTGTGGGCGGCGGTCGACCAAAGCCTCTCCGACCGCATCGCCAAGGCCTGTCGGCGCGCCGACTGTCAAGCCGCTCAAGGTCAAGCCGGCGAGCGAGGCTGTCAAGTTCCGCGCGAATCTCGGTGTGTACACTTCCAACAAGGCGTAAGTATCTGTTGTATGGACGTCGATCAAGGTTTCAAGGTGGCGAGGCTATGAGGAGAAACAGGCCAAGTATAGGAGAGAGCATATGAAATTGTACGAAAAAAAATCAATGTACCAAAGCCATGTCCGCTTTTTTCCAGTCGATGTAGACAAATTTGTGAGGCAGACGACGAGTCGTCATGTAAATGAGAGCTTTGGTAGAAGGAATATTTGTTAAGCCACTTGCACCGAAACAGTATGGACCTGGAACCGCCGCTGCAGGTTTCTTTCCAGCAAGCGCTCAACACCTCTTCCCCCGCCGTCCACCACATTCTCTCTGGCTCCTTTCGCTCACTCTCACTCTTCCTCCTCGCCTTTTCGCCAGTAAGGCTCACCCTTGACCTCGTGCAGACGATTCCTGCCTTTGGACCTCACCAATACATCGGTCTCGGTCCCCATGCGCAGAACGGGCATGCCCGAGTTGCGTACACGACAAGCTGGGCTCTACCCCCGAAACTCCACAGCTGGGCCATCGAGCAGCAACCGGACGGTGTCCGTGTGCGGCTCGTAGACAGTGTAGATATTGGTGCGTCAAACGTCGATATACATTCTACTCCTCATCTTCCATAGCTGCAACGTCGTCCTACATCACTGTCCCCCCGCCATACTCACACATCTACTCGGCTGGCGGCCCTTCCGCCCAAGTGCACAAGCTTCCCCCCGCTGAAACCCCTGGCATCGGCCCCCATGTTCAGGAAATCTATTTCGTTCCTCAATCAGAGTGGGAAGCAGCGGACAAGACACGCAAAGCCTTGGTACGCCCTTGCTATGCGTCAACACGCCGACACTCAACTTCCTCCAGCGCTACGGCTCACATGGCATTGAGTTTGCCTTCCCCGCTGGATCACCGGCTCTTGCATTCATCCCCGTGCTCGGAAGTTCTACAATCGAGATCTACTCTCGCGCTGAAGATGGGTCGTTAATCAACATCGACTCCAGTTCCGCACCGCAGCGGGCTGGTACAGAGGCGGCAGAGGAGGACGGACCACGACACGTCAAAGTGCATCCGAACGGACGCGTTTTATACTGCGTCACCGAACACTGTGCGTTTCAACCCACTCTCTCCGCACATACTCTCAGTTATTGCAGCAAACTACCTCGACGTCTACACGATCAGCCCCCCCTCCGGGAATGGCCCCATCCTAACGTACGTCGCCTCCCGCTCCCTTATCCCCCCGCGGTTGCGAGAGGCAGCGCCGGACAACACCACCACCCCCAAAGCCACTTACCGCGGCGACACGCTCGCCCTCGCTCCCTCAACTCCTGAGAAACCCGCCCCAGAAAGCATTTTCGTCACGACTCGGGGAGGTGAAGGCGAGACCACATCGGGGTGGGTCAGCGTCTTCCGGCTGGACGCTGAGGGCATGTTCTCTGGTGACGTCGAGAACAATCCTTACCTCGTCGAGCGCTACAAGGCGCGGACAACCGGCGGCAAGGCGCACGCGCTTGATATCAAAGCCAAGGCGGATGACCCCGACGGTGGGCTTTGGGTCATCCTGACGGACGACTCGCCGCCGCAGCCAGGTGTGCGTGTGTTGGAGTGGGATGGGTGGTTGTGGCGCGGTGGGGGCACTAGGTTGCGGGAGGTTGTCGCGTGGCCCTTGGTTGGATCGAACCCGTCTGAAACTGTGACCAAAGGGGAGCCGGAGCAGATGGATGGTGGGAGTCATGCCGTGTGGTTGGACTAACCTAGCGAGAGGTGATTATTCGATAATGCTAAGACAGGGACTAAGTATTACCGGCGCCTTTAATTGACGCGACTGTGTACCCGTGTGTACGTGTCGCAACTTCTACATCTTCAGTCCCAGATTTCTCTTTGGTGATATCGTTTTTGCTTTCCTGCTTACAACTAATACAAGTTCCCTCTTCGTCGTTTATAGTGGTCTGGATTTCTGCAACTGGTCGGCAACACCTTGGTTAGACTGTCCTCAAATTTGTTCGATAGTCGGCCTCGGTTATCTGAGGAATATAAGTTCAATATACATCGAGTTCGTAAATCGTTACAGGGTATCATTAAGGACGTGAATGTCATAACAATAAGATTAAATATCCATCACCCACCCTCCTAGTGAGGGAAACGCTGCAAACGACAAAACACCAAACCGCTCGTTATCTGGCCTTGTCCCTCACCTCC